GATTCTATTATATGGATATACCACAGTTTGTCTACCCAGTCACCTGTTAATGGACGTTTGGATAGTTTTTGGATTTTGGTTATTATGACTAAAGTTGCAGTGAATAATCATGCTGTGTCCTTGTATGTTTTCATCACTCTTGGGCCGTTACCCAGACTGTTTTTCATTCCTACCAGCAGTACATGAATGTTCCATTTGCTTCACATTTTCACCAACACTTGGGATTTATCAGTCTTTAATTGTAGCCATGCTAGTGGATATGTAGTAGTATATCATGTGTTTATTTTTTTTGTAGCAGTTTTTTGGAATATAATTCAGCCATCAAAAGTGTACAATTTGGTGACTTTTTTTTTTGTTTTTGTTTTTGTTGTGTTTTAAAAATTTATTTATTTGAGAGAGAGCGTGCACGTGCATGTCTGTGAGTTTGGGGAGGGACAGAGGGAAATAATCTCAAGCAGACCCCCTGATAAGCCTGGAGCCCTACGTGGGGCTGGATCTCACAACCCTGAGATCATGACCTAAGCTGAAATCAGGAGTCTGATGCTAAACCTACTGAGCCAGCAGGTGCCCTTTGTTATTGTTTTTGAGTAAACTCTGTATCCAACATGGGGCTTGAACTCATGACCTTGAGATCAAGAGTCACATGCTCTACTGAGTAGCCAGGTGCCCCTACGATTCAGTGTTTTTTAATATATTCACAAAGTTTTGCAGCCACCAACACAATTTAAAACATTCTCATCACCCTAGACTGCAACCTTGTACCCTTTCCACCACCCTCCAATCCCACGGTGTAGGGCAAATACTAATCAGTCTCTGGCTCCATAGGTTTGGGTTTGCTCCTTCTGAACATGTCATGGAAGTGGAATCAGACAATTTGTGGTCTTTGTGCCTGGCTTCTTTCTCTTAAAATAATATTGTCAAGATTCCTCCATGTTTGTAGCATGTATCAGAATTTTGCTTCATTTTTTATTATCAAATAATATTCCATTGTAGGGCTGTAGCACATATATCCATATCATGTATGATTCATAAGTATTTTCTCTCATTGTGTCTGTTATTTTTATACGCCCTTTACAGTTTCCTTTGAAACAAATGGTTCTGATCTTTGTGAGGTCCAATTTATTTTTTGTTTCTTGTGCTTTTGATGTCATTTAAGGAACCATTGGCAAATCGGGAGATCAGAAATATTTACTTCTATATTTTCTGAGAATTTTATAGTTAGTTCAGACAACTTAGGTCTTTGATCCATCTGGGTTAGTTTCTGTGCATGGTGTGAGGTAGGGGTCTGATTTCATCCTTTTTTTGCGTTGGTATCTGCTTGTTCAAGCACCATTTGTTGAAAAGATGATTCTTTGCTATTGATTTTAGTCCCTAATTTTGACAAGACTCAAAATCCATTAACCAAGGATGCCTGGATGGTTCAGTCGGCAGTTGATTGAAATGATTTTGGCTTAGGTTGTGGTCTTGGGATCCTGAGCCCTGAATCAGGCTCTGCATTCAACAGGGAGTCTGCTTCAGAGTTTCTCCCTCTTCCTCCCCCTGTTGCTTGAACTCTTTTTCTCTCTCTAAAAAAATAAATAAATAAAAATAAATCAATTAATTGTACATTTGAGGATCCCCTCTGGCTTTAGTGTGTATTTCCCTGATGACTAGTACTAAGTATAAGATCACTTACTTAGTGACTGTTTGTCTTCACTCCCTTTGTGGAACTGAGTTTTAATGAAAGAAACAGGTTGTGTAAGTGCGGGGTTTGTTGAATCCTCTGAAGGGAACAGGATGGGCTTTGCCATGGGGCCCATTTGTAGTTGGTGACCCTACTGACATGGTGGCTGGGGAGGCCTCTTGGAGTTGGAGACTTGAGCTGAAACAAAGATGTGAAGGATCTAGGTATTCAGAGATCTGGGGGACCAGCTTTGTGAGGAACGAAAGGTTGGGGCCGGAGACAGGGTGATGCCTGTGTGGTTGGGATCTCTGAGGAGGGGAAGCTCAGAGGCAGGGATGTCCTCCCGCAGGCCGTGGAGGGGATTTGAATGTTAGGCACATCTCTCTCTTTATTCTCAGTGTGGCCTCTCCATGTTAGACCTTCTTGTGGATGAAGCGTAGCACCTAACTTTAGATAGGTCCAGACCTGAACTCACCGTCCTCTGTGAATGACTTCCTGACTTCATTCTCTGTCTTGGTGTAGGTGCCATTTCTCTCCCTATTGTGCCAGCCAGAGTCCTTTGAAACAGAACGCCTGGTTTCCTGTTCCCATCCTGTTATGGAGAGAGGGCCCCTCACACACAGGAAAGAGAGAAGTCAGCTATTATTATGAGGCTTGGAGTGAACAGTGGTCCCAGTTCCTGTTCTCCAGAAGTAACGCCTCTCTACCCGTGCATCTTGCTGCAGCTGTCTTGACCTCTGTTTCCCAGTTACCGTGGCTCCACTGCTGCCCTGACTTCCCAGTTTCCAACACTGTCTAGACTTTAGAGTGTGGAAATGCAAATTTAGCGCTTTCCAAGTGGCCACCTTCTGGGGGACCCCACTCCACCATCTGCATGCACCTACTCATTGCACCACACCCATGCTGCTTGTCCTCTCTGGATTTTGTAAACAAAATCAGCAGCTGATCAGCTGAATCCATAGTTTTACTTTGCATTATTAAGACTGTAAAAATTGTTGTTAGTTGAATCTGAAAATGCATGCGAATACATTTCACAAAGTCTTTGTGAAACTTTGTCCTACCTGAGCTCTGCCTGGTATCCTTGAGTCCAGCGCGTCTCTGGTCCAAGTCATCTGAAAACTGATCCTGTCACCTGCTTTGGTGGCAGGAGCAAGTGGAGGTGCAGAGGCCCTGACTGTTGGCACAGTTAGGGGTATAGCTGCTGCTCCTCAGACCCCCCTTGTCTCCAGAGCCCTGGAGGTGTGAGCAGAGGAGTCCTGTCCTGTGTCCTCCCTTGTCCAGCTTCCAGGCTCCGGTTTACTTTCCTGTATTTGCTTTTCAGTTCCCCAGACATCTCTTATCTACTCTTTATTTCTGTTTGTCGGTGTCGTTTTGTTTTACTTCACTCTCATTTGAATGGGGCTTCAGGGGCAGGAGAGAAAAACATATGTGCTCTGTCAGTTGTAACAAGAGCTCAAGAACATTCCATTTTTATTTCTAAATATTGCATTTAAGGATCTGCACCCAGTCCCACAGCTGTGGTGAAACCTCTAGCATCTCCTACCCCCACAGTTCCCGGCTGGGCTCCTTGCCCTCAGGTTCCTGTCCTGGAGCTTATCCTGCAGAGTGGCCTGTCCAGGGCCCCCCCTGCCCACCTCTCCTAGCATCCCAGGGTCCACAGCATGAGGCCGTCCAGGCTCATGAGCTTGGCAGATACAACCCTCTGGGCGACCTATGTAACCTCCTTGTCCCTGGTATCCTCACTCCAGTGCATTCACTGCACTCACACCAAGTGGTGTCTGTTTTCCCAGAATTGTCACGCTGTTGTCCACTTTGCTGTGCTTTTGTCTGTGCTCTTCTTCCAGACGGAAGATCTGCATCCTCCCACATCTGCTTCCTCATCAGAATTTCATCTGGTGGTCGCCTCCCTCCTAATTCCTCGCCACTCCCGAAGTATCACTTGTGCTGTCTCTGGCTTCTGCTCTCCCCTGTTGTTCTCTTATTACAATTACTGTGCTGTGTTCTCTTTTTTAATTTTTGCATTTTTTTTAAATTTCTTTCATATCTGGATTAATAAAAGACAGTTGCATTGTCCTGTCTGCCTCTGCGTTAAGTGTTTCGGGATCTCTCTCACATGCACAGACACACACATCATTTAGCAAACTCCGTCGTGTGCTCATGAGACAGCAATGAAAAAGGCAAATGAGGCCTTCTTGTGAGAAGAACAGTTTTGACCCGCATGCCTTCAGAAGGGGCTTGGGGACCCCAGGAGTCTTCTGACCAACTTTGAGATTCATTAGGCGAGTGATAAATAGCATTGTCGACTTGGTGTGTACTCTCCCAGACTTTGCTTAAATTGAGAAGTACTTTATACAGTATATAGTGTCATGTTCACGCTGCTGACATTCTGTTTTTCTTCCTAATATATTTTAAGAGAGCTTTCTATACGAATATTGATATACTTCCCTGTTCTTTTTTTGCATTGTATTTCAATTTTACTTTCAACTCATTTGCATACTAACTGTTGAACAGTGACAGGTTTATGAAATATAGCCAGAGATGTATTGAGGGCTGTATTTTAAAAACACTGAAACAACAGGTAGGTGATACTCTGTAAACACAGGAGTGATTGAAGACTTTTGGTCTGGGTTGAGGAGAGATGAATAAAATGTTTTATGCTTAATTAATTCTTGTCAGTAATAATATGAATGATTGAGAAGAGTAGAAACTATAGGTAAGGAGATCATTTAGAGAATTATGGTAATTGCTTAGATTTGAGCATCTGAGTGCTTAAAGTAGGTAGTGGTCTGGGGATTCCCATGACTGGCAGGGAGGTCATAGCGAGAGTGGGAATGACAGATTCTGGTGGCAGACAGTGGGGGTGGCCGGGCACAGCTGGGAGTACCTGGGGTCTCCCACCCTGCTCTCGGGTGGAACACACCAGTTTTGGGGGCCAGACAGTCTTTTTGGCCTCATTTCTTTAGGGCCCTTATAGCTCTAGATTATTCCATTTATGTCCTGTTTGCTCTTACACTGTTCATTTAGTAGCACGTGTGCCCTGCACTGATCAGTTTGAAGGCTGTCACAAGTCTAAAGTTACCGTGTAAAAACGGCACTTCCTTTACCTGCCTCTTGCTTCTACTCTTAACACTTTAAAAACACCATGTAGAGACTACTTTGGAAAGTTGAACTTGTATGGTCCTTTGTATTTGGTTATAAATGTACTTACTTTTAAAGACACGTCTATTAAAATGGCCTATGCGTCTCTTCAGTCGCTAGCTGACACACATGCCGACGTAATGCTGTGTGACTGTAACAGGAACAGATGCTCATTATGCTCTATCAATTAATTATACAGATGCAGGACAGCTGGAGCGCACATCGATGAGTCACTGTTCCCTGCAGCTAATACCAGGGAACACCTACCAAGCTTGATTAAGAAAAAAGTAAGTATGTGGTATCAGTATAGACAGTGGCAGTTATGAGTTGATTCCTTCTTTTGTTCCTAGAAAGTGAAACTTTGTGGAATATATTCAAGAAGTGTCTTAAGTATTGGAATTGATGATCCTGTTCTTTACACATAGGGTTTTTTAAAAAGTTATAAAAATTACTGTATCCTTGAAATGCTTTGGTGTAATTTGTGAAAAGTGGAACTGCTGTGTTTGGCCAGCGGAAAACGAAAAGTTGCCAAGAGACCAGCAGACAGGCAGGTGCTCTCAGAACTGCTTCAGAGTTTGGTTTGTTACATCTGCAGCAAAATACCCTTGTTTTGCAGTTTGGCCACAAAATCTCAAAAGTCTTGATGCAGAAATGTCCACGTTATGTATTAAATAATTAAGTTATTTATTATCATAAATCTGCTGTTCAAACATAAGACACTGCTTTCCTTTGAGGTCTAATTCACATTCGATCCACAACATTTTCACTCTTTTATTCTTTAAAAGTTTTAATTGTGATTTCTTTATTTGAGGGTAAACTGGTTTACTAGGAAACATCAGAGTCACTTTGTTTTCACATGGGGATCCTGATGGGGAGGAGATTTGCAGGCTTTGTCCAAACTGATTTAGACAGACTAGACGCATACATTTCCTGTAGGTTAAAGAAGATGTTCCCGTGGGCATCTCAGATTTCTGTAAATGGTGAATCCCGCGTCTCCATTACATTCATCTCGGACAAGCTGGGATTTGCAGCACAGTGATGGACAAACTTAACTCCAGTCTCTGTCCAGATCTCATTCGATTAGGGGTGAAGTAACGCCTCTAAGTCTCCACTCTCTGTGATACATTAGGCAATGGCTGTGTCTACTGTTTTAGAAATAAAGTACTTATTTTAAAAACACATTAACGATATGAGTATATTTTCATCATAAAACATTAAACACAATAAAGCAAATAACTCTTTTAATGTCTCTTTACTCAAAATAAGCAGTTTTTTGTTTGACTTGGGTCCTTGTGGATCCGATGGTCTTCAGTACACATACGTTACACACACACACGCATTTTGTACAAATGAGGTTCTGCTGTGTTACATATATTGTCTGGGAGATTGTTTTTTTTTCTTCACTTAAAAGTGTATTTTTGATGAATTACTGACAGTATATGTAGCCCTTCACTCTTCTGTGTTTATTCTGTGGTATCAATGTGTCTTTCTTGGATTCTTGCACCCTTAAATCATTGTCGGTTTTTTCCAAGCACATTGTTTATGTGACATATTCGAGTTTATTTCTCCAAGTGAATTGTCTAGAAATGAAATAAATGATTGCATCAGATGTGCATGTGCTTTCCACCAGCATGGACAGGAGTGCCTCTGTCTTGACACAGTGGCTGGTGCTGCATGTTATTCATCTTTGTACTTTTCCTGGTCTGAAGCATACGGAGTGACTGCTTACACACTTCATTTCAGGGTTCACTTGTGCCTGAAGACATCCTGTTTCCCGTCTTTGAGTGCAGTGGCAAAGCGAACATGACTTCAGACCCTTTAATTTGGGCTCTTTGACATGGTTCTCAGCTTCCCGCTCCCTCACTCTGCTGCCAGCCTGACCCTCTTGCTCGCTGTTCGTAAATTCACCAAGCGTATTTTGTAATTTAGAGCCATCGCACTGCGTATCTCTTCCCTCTCTCTGGAACACGCTTCCTCCTGCCTTCATGCACGTGACCACTTTCTCACTTGAGGAGGGCGTTGTGCCAGAGTCCCTTCCTCAGTGGTAATTCCTTCCCACTGTGCCCGCTGTCCTGACCCACTCGCCCGCTACATTCCTTTCTATCAGTTGCACTTAGCCCTTTCTGACGAACCGTAGTCATGGTGGCAGGTAGCTAGGGTTCAGTTGCTAACAAATATTCACAGGACCCTGAAGGACAATGGTCTGTGGAGCCCCTGGGGACCAGGGGAGACTCTTGTGTTGCGCTGGTCACGTACCCCTGTTGTCGCTACATGACCACCCCCAGCAGAGGAGCCCTCCCATTGGTGACAAGCAGTTGACCAGCTCCGGAGTACAAATGCCCCCAGATGCCTTGGACTCATGGTTACAAAGCAACATTGTTCATTAGGACACTGCATGCTGTGTGTGTGTTTTGGGAGAACAGTTCAGGCCAGTTGCAGGCCTCCTGGAATTAGCCCTCCTGACACATATACAGTCTGTTTTACTCATTAATGTTGTGTAGTTTCTATCATTCTTTAATAGAGTATAAGCTCCTCGTAGCAAGAATCTTCTTCCCGACACATATATTCTTGTTAAATAAAGAACAAGAACAAGAAGCTCCATCAGAAACACAAGTGTAGGTATGGGAAGGTTAACCCAAGACTTTCTCTGGAAGTTAGCCTTGGACTGGGCTTCATCCTGTTCATCACACCTTGTAGGTGTAGTTTGAGCTTTTACGTTTTACTGGCTGAATAGAATTACTGTGATTTAAGGGCAGTAAAGCAAGATTCAATGTTGGTTCTTTTCTTTGGTAGTTAGAAAATAATTGCTTTCGGACTTTGTTACCATGTCATGATTTTGAGGTGAGGAGGAGGAGAGATATTATAAGAGTAACAAAAGTAAGGAAAAGGACTCATTTTGTTTAAAGACCTTCATGGGAACTAAGAATGCTGGGATTCTGAAAAATGCCTCAGAAAGTGTAGCTACCTCGTGTATGTATTCAGTATTCAGTCTCTCAGCTCTGCTGCTGTTCTTACAGAGGCACAGAGAAAAAGAAATATTACTGTTTCACATGCAGTGCAAGAAGGGCCTCTGTGGGGTTTTAACGCAGTGTTGTAACGGATCTCAGAAGCGTGTGAACGCTTGTCTTGTCACGCAGCTGCAATACAGTAAGTGTTCATTTTCCTGTCCTTTTTGCACAGCGGAAGTGTATGCAGCCCAAAGATTTTATTCCTAAAACACCGGAACATGATAAAAGGCTTCAGAAGAAATTCGAGAAAATGGCTACAGAGCTACAAAGGCAGAAGAGAAGTCTGGGTGAGTCCAGAAATCTGTTTCAGCTGCCCGATGGCCAGGGGCGCCTGGGCGGACCCGGCTCCAGCCTGCAGGCAGTGGACCGCGCCTGTCCGAGCTCATCGGCCAGAGTCTTGGTCACTCACCACGTGGATGGAGCTTTTTACTTTCAGGAATGATTATGGAAACACAGATTATGGCTAAGAAGGCCTATTAATAGAAGTCCATTTTTATTTCTTTGTTATTTTGTATCTAACTTTGTATTTTTACCTAATACTCTGTCTTTTGTTTAATTACCCAGAATAGGGAAGTGTTAGATAATATACTCTTTCCTTTATTTCCCCTTAAGTATATGTAATTTTAGTCAGTTATACCTCAGTAAAACTGAAAAAAAAAAAAAGAAGAAATGCATTTCATTGTCTTTGGGCTTTCATAATGCCCGTTTACAAATTAGTCCACAATTGTATTTCTGCTCTTTTAAAAGGTATATTTTCTTTTAACTTTGACTGCCTTTTGTTTACATTTTTTGCCTTCAGCAGTTTGAATTTTATGTTCATCAGCCCAGTTTTCTTTTTAAGTATCCTACTTGGGGTTCACAGAGATGCCTGAATTGTTTTTTCCCTTCTGTGCATCAGTTTGTATATTGTCTATTGACCTTTTTTACAGTTCACTAATATGTAAAAATTATCTGTTGCATTCATAATTGGAGTTACTTTATTTTGTAGTTCTAGGATTTCCAGGTTTTTTTTTTGATCCTGTTATTCTGATTAAATCATATTTTTTCTCTTCTATCTGCAATATATAGAATGCCTCTGTTCTCTTGTTTTGTATGATTGTTTTTTCTCTTGTTTTTTGTTGTATAGGTCCTGTCTTTTAGTAGGAATGATGGTTTTTGTAATTGAAGGCAAGTCATTTAGTTGTAAAATATGTTTGAAGCTCTAGGCAGTATTATTTTCTTAGACACAGAGTTTCCAGTTTCCTCTGCTAAGCAGATGGAGTGGGGTCTGTTGGCTTTATGTGGACTGATTGGAATCTGAGCTTCACTGACTTTTGGTATAGGGCTTGGTAGACTTCTCGTTTGACATTGATGCCAGAGCGTGGCCATTGAGACCTTTCCACTGAGAGCCTGGCATGATAACTAGGATCCCTTCCCCTGGCTGGTCCTGAGCTTCCATTTCATGTCTCAGCAAAAACACACCACAGAGAACTTTCCACCATTTCACAGAAGAATTCGGCTTAATTTTTAGTATTCTTGTCACTTGTAGCTTCAGAATTGAGCAATTTTCTTGAAGATAGTATCACATGCATGCAAGGACCAGCTTTCTCCTACGCCCTGTCTAGTGGGATTTGGTGCTACAAAGCTTTCAGTTTTCTCTTCAGTTTGTTGATACTGATAAATTCTTTGCTTGTGTCTTTGTTTCTCAGCAACTGCTCTTTGCCTGGTCACAGAGAGGACCTTCAGCCTCCTGCCCCAGGCCCTTTAATGATAAATCCTCCTGGGGGTAGAAGCATCCACTGCTTGTCAGCTGGCCTCTCTGTTCCTCCTCTGCAGAATCTTGACCCCTCTGGCCTGGTCTCTTCAGTAGTTCCTGATGCTTTCACATGGACATTGTTTGGATCGTATATAGTTTTTGTATTTTCTTTTTCTCTGTGTAGGCATCATTTGGCTTCAAGATACTTGATTCCTTTGTCTTGAATTACTTGTAAAACCTTACAGCACTGGACAGCAGCAGCCCAGTCACCTTTGTTTACGGTTGCGTCTTACACAAGGCCACGGATATTACATAATGAGTTTAGGAGATCTGTGAGCTACATTTGGTCCTAGGTAGCAACAGGCTACTGCTATGGAATCAAAATGTAGGGAAATTTTTGTCATCATGTGTTTAATTATAGAGTCATTTCTATTTCTTTTGAAGTATAATTGACATAGCATTAGTTTCAAGTGTATGGTGTCTTTTTTTTTTTTTTAAATTTATTTATTTATTTATGATATTCACACACACAGAGAGAGAGAGAGAGAGACAGAGACACAGGCAGAGGGAGAAGCAGGCTCCATGCACCGGGAGCCCGATATGGGATTCGATCCTGGGTCTCCAGGATCGCGCCCTGAGCCAAAGGCAGGCGCCAAACCGCTGCGCCACCCAGGGATCCCAGTGTATGGTGTCCTGATTCGATGTGTGTGTATGTTGTGAAATGATCACCACAACAAGTCCAGTTGACATCTGTCACCACACATACTTACAAAATTTTCTTTTGTTCATGATGGAACTTTGAAGACCCAATTTCCCAGCTACTTTCATATATGTAGTACGGTGTTACTGTAGTCACCATGCCATCCATTGCATCCCCAGGACTCAGTCATTTTACAACTGGGAATTTGTGCCTTTCACCCATTTTGCTCACCCCCCCACCCCCCACCCTGGGGCCTCACACAACCACCAGTCTGTTCTCTCTATCCATGAGCTTGGTGGTTCCGTTCTTTGTTTTCTCATCTTATGAATAGATTCCACACACAAGTGATATCATCCAGTATTTTTCCTTTCTCTTTCTGACTTACTGCACTTAGCATGATGCTCTCTAAGGTCTATCCATGCTGCCAGAAATGTCAAGGTTTTGTTCCTTTTTTATGGCTGAATATCAGTATTGCTCTGAGAGTGTGTGTGTGTGTGTGGTGTGTGTGTGTGTACCTGCCACATTTTTGTTATCCATTAATCCATAGATGAATATGTACGTTGTTCCCATGTCTTGGATATTGTAAATAATGTTTCAGTGAACATGAGGGTATGCAAATATGGGTCTGCATTAGTGTTGTCCTGTTTTTTTTTTCTTTAATGTTTTCATTTCCTTCAGGTAATACAAGTACCCAAAAGTAGAATTACTGGATCATATGGGAAGTTCTATTTTTAATTTTTTGAGAAACCTCCATAGAGTTTTCCATAGTGGCTGCCCCAATTTACATTTCCAGGAGTGCCCAAGAGTTCTATTTCTGCACATACTTTCCAATATTATTATTTCTTGTCTTTTTGATAGTAGACATTCTAATATGTGGTTAGAATCTCATTGTGATTTTGATTTACATTCCCTTCATGATGAGTGGTGTTGGCTTTTTTTATGTACCTGTTGGCTATTTGTATGTCTTCTTTGGAAAGATGTCTTGTTTAGATCTTCTGCCCATTTTTAAAATTGGACTTTTTTATTTTGCTAGATGTATTCTTTTAATGATTTATAAAAATACTTTAGAACATCATAAAACTCTAAAGTACCATGTGTTTTTTGTATTCTTTTTTTTGCCATTTTCACTACCTAAATTCAGTGTTTCAGAGCAATTCCCAGCACACTGAAACACAGAACTGTATAACACATGGGATAGAAACGGAAGCACTGATTGCTCTCATTTGTTGTTGCAGTGTGTACTGCCATGTCACAGATTCTCTGCTCTGTATTTTGAAATTTTTCATGTAGAATTATCAAGCTTTATTTTAAATCTGCCATGATAATACAACAGAATTGACTAGAATATTTAGCCTATATAGGTAACGCTGCCAGATGATTTTCTAAAAACATTGCCTTGATCCTTTGTTTTTGTGCGGAGTCACCCCAGTGCCTGAGAATCAGGTCTCTTTCTCTTGATGCTGTGCTGGTCCCTCCCTAAGAACCTCCCACTAACTGGTCTACTGTGCTGCTCCGACCACACTCATGGAGTAGCTCTTGACATCTCTTTTCTGCCTGATGCCGGATTCCCACCAAGATCGTGCTTCTGAATGACTGCTTGCCTCCTGCACTGTTCATTCTCTAAGCCTGCATCAGCCCCATGTGGACCCTCCTAGTGGCTGCCTGACTGGGCCCTATAGGCACTGTGTCCCTAACCATCCACCAGCTGTACTTGAGTCAGAAGGGTGTAAATCACAAGTCAGGTGCACATCCCATCCAGGGCATCTACTTCCTCAGTGTCATTGTAAGGAAAAATATTTAGGACAAAACCCTATATATAACCTGCCCTGCAGTACAGCGTGCCCTGTGTGGTCTGGTCTCTCCAGCCTCAGGTCAGCACTGTACTGCATTCCTTCAGCTTTACACTCTTGGCTTTGGGGCCTTCTTCCTATACCAGTAATGGTTTATTTGAAAAGAATTTGGCAAAATGGTACTGATAAAAAATTTTATATTTTTGGATCAAGTTTATATCTTAATAAAAATTGCCTTTTAAACACTTCAAATGTGAGGTATTAAAGATATAACTGGCATGTGTGCATATTGTCAGAAGTGTGCTTAGAGCTGTTGAGGCCTGAGAGTTGTAAAGAAGACCTTGATGCTTGGTCTTGTTACTGGTTGGTGAGGGGAGGTGGTCAGAGCCCTGCAGTTCTCCCTGGGCACATGCAAGATATGGGTTCCAGGAGAGCACACATCTTGGACTCCTGAGCCAGAGTTACGTCTGTGTCTCTTGAGGGTCGCATAAGGTTGCTTAGGGGTGGTGGTTTCGAGACCTAGAATGAACACTGTCAGAGGCGGACCTTTTCTGTGTGCATCTTGGGTTCTCAACTGGGGCTTGTTATAAAAGACAGGTTCATAGGAGAAGAACATATACACTTGTACATTTTTTTGTGACATGGGGGCTCTCAAAGGAGGTGAAATCCCAAAGTAGTGATAGAACCTTAGTGCGTATGTTGAACAGAGAGAGGCAGTTGTGGAAAGGTAAGATGTAAGGGGACCGGAGGAGGAGAGTTATTTTAACAAGGTCTGTTTTACCGAGTTCTCTTGGCCTCAGTGCCCCATCTCTGGTGACAAAGTGTTGGGAGTTTTATCTCCTGGCTCAGGAAGAGGCTTGGGGTGGTGGGTGGAGCGGGGGGGGGGGGGGGGGGTCAGAGCACCTTCCTTTCACTTGCTGTGACTTAAGTGCTTTTTGCTAAAAAAAAAAAAAAAACCCTTATGCCAAACTGTCACATTTGGGGTGGCATTCTGCCGCTCTTCATCACCATTGAGGAACCAGAATGCAGTTTCTTCATCTTTAAATGGGGGTACTGATCACCTGATGTGCTGGGTTCAGGCCAGGTTGAGTGAAGTAGTGCCCATATTGTGCTCAGCCCGGTTCCCAGCACGTGGATGTTTCTCGGCAAACATCAGCCAGCAGTTTTAGAGCTAGTGTTACTGCTCTTGGGGGGGTGGGGCGGTGGGGGTGAGGATAGACCGTAGGTGGTGGGAGATAATGATGTGGGGGGGGGGACCAAGCCCCTGGGGGTGGGCGACAGGCCGTTCCTCCAAAGGGATCCTATTGTGGAAGTAAGAAGGCTTGTTTTTAGCTAAATGTTTTGGTTGTTTTCAGATAATGATGTCCCTGTCCTCTTGTTTGAATCGAACGGCTCACTGATGTATAGTCCCACAACGAAAATGTGCAGCGGTCAGCATAGTATGATGCTGAGGAGGTTACAGGAGATGAAGGAGAAAAGGGAGAACCTCTCCCCTACCTGTAAGTGCTTGCATTTTATAAAGTGAGAGGGAGGCAGATGCTTGGTGAATAGATTGTGGTAGAAGGGTTTTTTTCCTCTTCACCTAGAGATTTTAGTTCTTTCTTGATTTTAACAGATTTTTATCTGTTGCTAGATAGACTTTAATATTTTTTTCCAGAAATTCTTATGCTTCATTGAGATTTTTAAAGCATATATGGAGTTTATAGTTTTAAAACATATGTTTTAAGCACATATTGGCCAGGTTGAGAATCCTATTTTTTTATAGTCCCTTTGTAATTTTTTATTTTTTTGGGATGCTTTCCTTTAAACAAATCAATCAGGCTCTTGAGGCAATCTGCTTTAGATTAGGTATCTCAGGCATTAGTTTTTGTTTTTCTGTATTTTTGTTATCTTTAAAAATGTTTTAGAGATTTTATTAATTCGTTGATTGATTTATGAGAGAAAGAGCAAGAGCATGAGTGGGAGGAGGAGCAAAGGGAGAAGTGGACTCTGTGCTGAGCAGAGAGCCTGACCTGGGTCTTGATCCCAGGACCCTGAGATCATGACTTGAGCCAAAACCAAGAGTCAAGGGCTAAATTTAACTGAGCTACCCAGGTGTCCCTTAAAACTTCTTCTAACTTTAAGTATCCTATGATTTAATCCTTTTTATAAAATGATTAATGCGGATTATTTTTATGAATCTTACCTGTAATAGATTTGAGTAAGAGTTTTTTGTGTTTATGGTTTTATAGTCAGTCTAGGATATGAAGTCCCGATGTAGGTCAGTGTTTGTGTTGTGGACGAGCGGATGGAGTAGCCTTACCATGCCTTCATCTACTAACATGTCAGAGTTGTATCTGATGAAGTGTTTGATTGTGTTTGCAGCTTCGCAGATGCTTGAAAACTCTCATAATAACCCAGCTGATACCTCATGTCAAGCTTCGTGGAACATTTCACACAATACTTTGTATTCAGGTAAAATTATTTTATTTTCTGCAATATATTTAAACTTTGAAAATATGATGATTTTCTTATTTGGAATTTCTTCTGATGTCTAAGAACAGTTGGTTAAAAACTAGAATTCATGAATTTTACCCTGAAGTCAGGTATTAAAATAAAAAATAGGTATTGTAATAAAATTAGGGCATGAGAAATTACGTGAGTTAAACCTCTCTTTTGGCTCCTTTGTTTTTTTCTTGTAGTCACTTGATTTTTTTAGCAAAGAATTAATTGCTCATTTTTTAAAAGAAATCATTATTGTATGTACTAATTTGCCTGGAGTATAAATTGTGTCTTACTGAGAACACTATGAGAGCTGCTTGTTCCACACCATGTGTAGTGACTATGGGACGTGACTGAAGCGGGTCAGTGAGGTGTGTAGAGGCCATTGAAAACTTTAGAGGGTAAATGATAGGATTTCTGCCTAGAGTCAGAGCATTGGAAAGAATTAAATCAGGGTTTTATTTTATATATGCACTTTAAATGTGGGAGCCCTTGTTTGACTTTGAATGATAATGCTTATACAGCTTATACAGCTTTCCTTTTACTGAGTGTTAAGAAATGTGATAGAAGCACCCACTTTTGCCTATGGGAGGGCCCAGATCAGTGGCCGTGCTATGACAGGTGACAAACAGCCTGGAGGTATTAGGAGTTCAATCCACAGCTTCCTTTTTGAGTGTGGTTGTTCCTTTAATCCCTTTGGTGTGTGTTAAAATTATTTACTCATTTGTCTTAAATAATCTCCATCTTTTTATTTTATACTCGCACTCGTTTTATATAAGCTGGACATGCCTGGTCGTAGCTAACACAGATTCCATTTTTCCTGTCTTGGGTGCTGTGTGTCTTATGTGCTTTACCTCATCTAATTCTCTCACTAGACCCACAAAGTACATACCATTGTCACCCCCACCATGTCATGAGAAAACTAGGCCAGAGGGGTCAGGAAGCTCGTAAAAGTTGACAGTTTGTTGGTGGCAAACCCAGGATTCAAACTTAGGCATCTGACCTCGGAATTTATGCTTCATGACATGGCACAGTGCTTGCCAGCTTTCTGAAAAGTGTGCTAAGCTTCTTGAGCTGCTAATACTAACAGAGTCCTGTATCTCTAGCTCCTGACTTGGTGTGGGTACAGTGCCACCCCACCGCCCGGGCTTCCCTCTGCTCCCTGCTGGTTACCTCCATTCTTTAAGGTAGAGCCTTTACAAGTTTTGGGTTAGAGGCTTTGGATTCCAGAAAATAATGTCTGTGCTCTGGGAGCTTCTAGTCAGTGAGAAGGACAGATAGGAATAATAATAATAATAATAATATGACACATGCTTTTGGGGACTTCAGGCAGAGTTCTGCATACAGGAGGATGTGTTACTAGACCCGGTGAAGTGGGAGGGTTCAGAGATTTTGACATCCAAGGTGGGTTTTTGAATAGGATTGACCCAGATTAAAGTGTGGAGTGAAGGCAAGGCCTGGAGGCATAAACGTGTACAGTTTTCAGGATGTAAGACACATATAAAATACATGGGAAGTCGGAACCCTAAGATGTACCAGGTGATTCACTTTTCAGTATAAATACAGCGTGAGGACTTGAGTGGAGGACGGGAGTCAGGGGGGCTCTTACTCTCTGTTGGCTGCTTCGTGGAAGGCTAGAACTTGGACGTAGACAGTAGCGTTTGTTCTTAGCTTTTAGAATTATCGACCTCCTTGAGAATTTAGTGACCAGGTATGAATGCTCTTCCTGGGAGGAAGTGCACATGCGTTTGAGTGTTTAGAAAGTGAGCATAGTGGTTTTAGAGGTTTGTCCCTGCCCTTCCTACAGTCGCCATCAGTGCCCAGGTTCCTTAGTGAAGAATGCTGGCCTGAAAGGTGTCCTCAGGTGGAAATGAGAAGAACCAGGATCGGTCATACTCTTTTTAACCATTGGCTGTGTTTAAGAAGTATTGCCTTACGGGTTAACTGAAAGTTACTTTTATGCTAATTTACACCATTTTAAAAGTTGATTCTTCATTGATATTTCCCAGATGAGTCCTTTGCTGATGATCTGAACTCATCTTTTGACAATCTTTGTGGAAAGACGGGATGTGGAAGTCAGGAAGAGAAGCTGGCAGGATTTGTGGACCAAGTTAAAAGTGATGTGTGTGTTTCTTCGCCTGAGCTGAAGACAAGTCATGTCCCTTCATTGGCATCTCCCGGTTACCTCTGTCAGTTAACTCCTCAGAAGCCCACGGGTGGTCTTTCCAAAGAAGAGATTCGTGGGCAGAGAGATCCTGCAGCTGAAGTGGTCACCCCTGACAAGCAGCAGTCGGAGGGAGCAGCCAGGGAGGGGCTTGACGAGAAACATAATTTGTCCCCTGTGCCATCTGCAAGCAAATGCCGCCCTTCAGGACATTCACGATCCAAGAGCTCTCCGGCAAAGAGAAAAAGAGTATCCGTGAGCTCAAATTCCCACCCAGAAGAAAGACTGCGGAAGAAGAGGTGCAGTGGGAAGGCTGCCGGGCCACAAGTGCAGCTGTGGAAGTCGGGAGGTCGCCTGCCGTTCACATCCTGGCCTGCTGTCGAGGCTCCTGGCGGCGAGGTGTCCTCGTACGATGATTATTTTTCACCTGATAATCTTAAGGAAAGGAGTTCAGAGGCTCTTCTCCCTGGACCTCAGCCATCCGCAGGCCCTGCTCAGTTCAGCTGCAGAGGACTTTCTCAGAGGGAGAGAAGAAACATACTGCAGATGTGTGACTTTTCCTGCCTCAGCAAACACCCCAGGTCAGTGGATGTTGTCACCGGTGTCCCAGCAAAAACTAGCTCCAGTCTTCAGAAACCTACACACAAGCCAGCAGACGCGATGAGGGGTCGCCTGACCTCTGACGGAACGGGTGCCGCTGAAGACGCCCCAGGCTGTTGTCAACAGGCTGCCGCTCCTCAGAGAGAACGTGGGCACCCGGCTGGGGAAGGCTGCTCTCACGTAGACGAGGAGCTCGCTCCGCCAGAGGCACACGGAGGGGAAGGACTTCATGGCGATTTAACTCCTCTGGAAGGAAGCAGCGCAGAAATGAAAGGATCGGTGGACGTGAGAAGCACGCAGAAGGAAGATCGTGCTTCTCGCCCGTGGAGCTCCTCTGGCGGTGAAGTGCAGTGTGGTTTTGTGAGTGAAGGTACAGTGGACATGCCTGCAGGAGACAAGGAACACTCATCCACGGGACGTGATGGAAGTATGTGAATCTCCTTTACAGCTACCTTTGTCGCATCCGTCTTGTAACATCGTCGCCCTCTTTCTAATTAAAATAGTTCCTTTTTTCCTTTTTTTAATTTTAAATAATGTGTGTGTGATATTTTCCAGTGATGCATTCTTTAGGGATAGGTAGGTGCCTTTCCACCCTCTGGCTTTTCTGGGCACTCCGGTCAAACCTACTGTCCGGAATGCATCTCCCCCAGGCCTTTCTGCGCAGATGCCGAGAGCATGTGATGCCTACTGTGCGCAGTGACCAGAGTGGCCGCTTCCTGGTCTCTGGAGCCTCTTAGGTCGCACGGCGCAGAGACCCCCTGCTAGAGTGTCGGAAGCTATTTATTTCAGGGACGTTAAGGCAGTGTAGGCATTGACTCCATCAAGAAAAGAGAAAGTATAAATAAGTAAATGTGTAAATCTGTTACCAGTATTTATTTTGAAGAAACTTTGGGCGGTGTTAGTTACAAAGAAAAAAAAAAACTGGCATTTTTGCCCAGGGTAAGAAGTTCACTGTATCAGGCCTTGTTTGGCTTCTATTTATTTTGCTTTAAGTGTATCACTTAAGTAGATTTTCTCCTTTGTGTAATTTAATTGTGACCATCAAAACAACTCTGTAATTGTAGAAACGTAGCAAAAGTGGCAACAATAGGAAACATTTCACACGTCCTGATTATGAGCACAAATAAATTTCAGCAGTCAAAAGCGATGAGATCTTGAACTGTAATCATTACCTAAAGATTAGGCTAAGATTTTCACAAGACCCAAGTTTACTCTTCATTACAATGTCTGTTCTCGCCATGATTTTAATCACCGTTTTCAAGATGGAGAAGTTACGTGTATGGAAATAATAATCACTGATGTCTATCTTTTCCTTGGGTAGAAGTCCCCAAAATAGTCTCAGTAAAGAATTAATTGTGTATGTTTTTAACTTTATTTTTGTATCCTAGCTTTCTGAAAATACATAAAACTTGACAAACTAATATTTTATGTTGAGTTAGGCTTAGTATGTGTTTTCAAAATATTTATTTTAAAATCATGTTGACTCTAAGGTCAATATAAATCAGTAGATATATAGAATTGTTTTGGTAGTTAAGAATATCCTGTTCTTAAAGCTTACATTCTCATTTTTCTCAGTTTTTATCTTGTTTATTTTAAAAGGCTTTGAAAAATATTTAATGGCATGCAAATATAAATTAAGTGAAAAAGGCTGGTTTCAGACAGCATGGTGCACGCCGTAACCCCAGCGTTGCTAAGAAGAGTGCAGTTGTCCTTGGGGCAGGATGTTGTAGGACTCACCCCGCGTCCACAGCCCCCGGGGGCCTGGGGCCCCGGGACGACCCTGAGGGGCCGGCATGGGACGTTCCAGCGGGGCACTTGGGATTTCAGCATCAGGCGACGGAGCTGTCGCACCGCGGGGTGCAGCCGCACACTCGTCGTGCTCCCTGTAAAGATGCCCCTTGGCGTCGCCTTGTGTTCTTTCATTCCACAGAGACAAGATCCTTGCGTCCTGGGGCGGGAGAGACCTACGCGTTCTCTGGCCGAAATCTGGTCCCCAGTTTCATGGTGATACGATCAACACCGCCTGACGTGTTAGGTTGTCTGCCACCAGCCCCCAGGTATCCGGCCTCTGTCTGGGAGGCAGCCGCAGACGGAAGCCTCGAGTCGGCAGCTTCCGTTAGGCAGTCCATGCGTGCTGGAACCGCGGAGCCGGGAAAACACTGTGCGGCGGGCGATACTGCCCGCTCTTCTATGTTGAAATAAAAGGCTTTTTTTCCATTTCTGCTTTCAGTTGACTTGTGCTCATTGCCCTTGTCGATATCCACGGAAGACTGCACGGTGTGCAGTAAAGGTCACACGTCACAGAGAAGATTCACCAATAAGTAGGAAGAGAACAGGATTAGAGGGAGAACCCCGTAATTTTGTCTTTTTAAAAAATAATCTCTGAAATTGCATTAACTGGTAAATTGTTTTCTTCTTAAACTTCTCTCATGTTAGAAACCATATGCAAATACTATACGTTCGCTGTAATAGAAGCTGGTACAGAGTAAACTTCCCGTCGTCCTGCTTGCTTGTGTCCCCCTGGTGGCTCCCCCGGGCACCCGCCGGTCGGCTTGCCAGGCGACGGCCTAGGAGGGAACAGTGTGCGCTGTGCACAGAGGTCGTGCCGCACGAGGAAGGCACAGTGGGCGACCGCGGGCACGGCGGCAGGCCTGGCATCCAAGGGCACATAGCGCTGGGCCTGCTGCGCTCACGTTTCAGCCTGCGGAAGCCGCCGGTGCACGCGACCTCAGGGAGAGATGTTGGCAGGACCTGCACAGAGCCTGTGAGGCTGCGTGCCAGCGGGCTGAAGGGGGGCTGGCAAGAAAGGAGTTAGGCAGCCAGCACCCGGGGCCGCTTGGAGCTTGCATATACAGGATTATATTACCTTATTAAGGTCTCCTTATTTATTTATTTGAGGGAGAAAGAGCACATGAGTCAGGGCTTAGGGGCAGGGGGAGAGGGAGAGAGAGAGAATCTTAAGCTGAGCATGGAGCCCGACACAGGGCTCGATCTCACAACCCTGAGACCAAGAGTCGGACGCTTCACTGACCACACCACCCAGGCGCCCCCTTAAGACTCGCTTTTCTCAAATGTCAGTTCCATATTGGTATCATTTGAGTGATCTAACTTCATTTTTTAAAAATATAATCCACTTCAGGGGTCAATGAATTTTTTTCTCTGATGAATCAGATAATAACTATTTCAGGCTTTGTAAACCAGAAGGCAAAATTAAGGTATGTAGGTACTTACTTACATAAAGAGAAAAAAAAAAAGACATTCCTACAAAATTTTTATGACACAACTCAGATAAAATTGAATGCAGTGTTTTTGAGATACAAGTCTCATGAGAAGAACAGAATTCTATTTTCGGGAGACGAATACCTTTTTACCTAATTGGGGTTCAGATCGAGTGTTCCCGTCATCAAAATTGATTGCAAACATTCACTGAGGCAGATGCACAATAGGATTTTATGTGTTTCCCTTTTGAAAATGCCTTTTCATGCAGCCAGGTACCGCCGGATATGGATACCAGCCCATTAGCTGACGGCTTTCACGGAGCATGTTCAGTGCACGGAAGGCGTTTATGGAAATCGGTCAGACTCTTCACCTGATAGGTGGCTCTCTGTGTGCTCAGATGAATCCCCGCCCGTGAGGCTCCTCTGTTGTGCAGTTGAGTGGACGTTCTTGCATCGAGGCCTGGGAAACCCGGAACCGTAGCTTGAGTGCAGTAGATAGGCCCTCACCGGGTCTGCCTGGGAGTGGGGATCTCGCTCCTGATGCCACAGGACGAAAAGTGCATAAAGCCGCCTGATGTTGAGATGACTTTTCACCACCCATGGCACCGCTCGCCTTCGATCTGCAGACGAGCTTCCTGAGACTGGTTTTAGTTGCCAAGTAAACCAAAGCTGACCGGTCGTGCCGAATCAGCACATAGTTGGCTCCTACTTGTTTCTCAGCGACTCAGGTGGCTGAGGTGGTTGCAGTCGTGCTACGTGGCCACTGGCAAAAGCAGGAGGAAATCCTCTTCATACCCACACCCTCACTCTTGTCCATCGGTTTAACAGACAACCTTCTTGGCTGTGCTTCATAAAATTTACACGTCCGTATAGACACGTGCCGTATCTAAGCAGATTGTGTCCAACTCTTAGGTTCTTTTTCACAGGTAGTAGTTGTCAGTTACTAGAGGATGATGAAGGTGAGCACTCTTCTAGTCTCAGACACAGACATCAAATATTTACGGGCAAGCAGATGGAGACCTGTCCACAACATAGACCTGTATGCTGAAGTCCCAGGTCTTGTCCTTCGGGTGAACTCTCCATACCTTGTCCGGTGTAGTAGCCACAGACAAAATGCTAGGGTTGTGTTTCTGTAACCTTGTCACCATCAGGCCACCAGATATTTTGACCCTGCAGCTTCTCATAGGGCCATTTACCCTCAGGGATACAGCTGCAGCTCATGCTGGGGTAGAGGGATCCCCTGTAACAGCCAGTCCAGTTCTCTGGAAGCCATGAATTTAAGTGGGCAAACATTTCTGACATCCAGTATGTTGATTAACAAACTGATGACATCACCAAGTGTAGCTCATTTCTTTGATCCATTTCGCCAGTTAGAAAAACATCTAATAACAATGGGCCAGGATTTCTAAGAGCTGTCTCTCGAGTGTGGTAGTTCCTAGCCTGTTGGCTGGCCTCTCGCGTAGTGGGTGTTTTGGATGGAGGTGAATTGGTGCCCATACTCGTATTACATAGTCTGCTCAAGTACGTATTTTTAGTTTCGTGACAGCCTTCGTAGTACGATGTTCTTAGTGCATTCATCCCTGTGATAGAACACGTAGCGTCTGACCGACTTGGGGTGGTTAGTGGTCACCGCCGGTACCTCTGTGTTAGGAAGGATTATGAGGCTTCCTCTTGGCTTTGCAGGAACACGCACGATGGATAGTACTGTCTGCTTAGAGAAGGATTACTATGGCTCACTATGGGGCTTAGAGGCAGAAATGCTATAGTAATAGTAAAAGGTGCATTTTTGTATATTTCTGCATGATTCATAATCCCACGGTAGAGATCGCTTTTATAGCTTCTGATTGATTTTGCAACCATATGAGAAAGTTTGATTATCTTATTGATGCATGTGATACGTCTCATTGAATCAGAAGGAGGTATACCATTTTTTAAATGGAATTAATCTAAAATATTTCATGTATAGGGGCACCTGGGTGGCTCAGTCAGTTAAGCATCTGCCTTCAGCTCAGGTCATGATCTCAGAGTCCTGGGATGAGCCTCACATGGGGCTCCCTGCTCAGCGGGGCGCCTGCTACTCCCTCCCTCTGCTGCTGCTCCCCTGGCTTTTGGTCTCTCTCTTTCTCTTTGTCAAATATATATATATATATATATTTGGTTAGGGTTTAAATTTTTAAAAAAAATTTCCTATATATTTAATAAGAACTAAAGTCCATTTAAGTCATAGGTATTCAGTCAATATTTTGCATATTCTTTTTAAGAGAAAGTGTGAATTACTACTGTACCAAGCAACTAGGCCACAATTTCTCTACTGTCCTGTGCTGCGGGGCCGCAGTGAGCCGTAGCCCCCAGGCCAGCGCTCAGTCAGGCGGTCCATGACCCGCACACCGCCAGCCCTCCTCTCCTCATACGACCATTCTGTTTGTCACTTCCAGTGCACTATTCATTAAATTACACGAGATGCTCAATACTTTTTTATAAAAAGTATTTTATAAATAGGCTGTGTGCCCAACTCACAAGAGAACTTCGGTTGGCCAAACGTGGCCTCTTGTACATGTTCCGAGCGTGGTTAAGGTCGGCCGGGCTGCGCCGAGATGCTCCCCAGGTTAGGTGCATTAAGTGCATTTTAACGGCCGATGTTTTCAACTTATCACGAATACATTTATCTGCATGTAACCTAGTCCTAAGTTGAGGAAGATCGACGCATGTCATCTTGTGATTACATTATGTGTGAAGAATGTCACTAGCGACATTAGTCTTAAGTTTTAAAAGGTCATAATACATCTTTTAGATGTTTGTTTACAAAATGCCTCACAAAATTATTGTTCTCGGCTAGAACCAAAGCATGTGGCCGTAACAATCTCTTTTGACGCAGACACCCTAGCAGGCAGTGAACTTAGGGTGCAATAGCAGGAGTGCATTGGATGCCAAATGATATCTGTAGTCCTCTTCTTTCTTTCTTTTTTTTTTTTTTTTAACAATTTTATTTATTCATGAGAGACACACAGAGAAAGGCAGAGACATAGGCAGAGGGAGAAGCAGGTTCCTCACAGGGATCCTGATGTGGGACTCAATCCCTGAACTGGGATCACGCCCTGAGTCAAAAGCAGATGCTCAACTGCCAAGCCACACAGGCATCCCCTCTTCTTTTCTTATATAGACTTTTCTTTATATACTCTTGCTTTGAGTAAACATTTAGGGTTTTTTTTTTTTTAAAGAAAAAATGGGGATCCCTGGGTGGCTCAGTGGTTTAGTGCCTGCCTTCAGCCCAGGGCCTGATCCTGGAAACCCGGGATCAGGTCCCACATCCCTGCATGGAGCCTGCTTCTCCCTCTGCCTGTGTCTTTGCCTCTCTCTCTCTCTCTCTCTCTCTCTCTCTGTCTCTCATGAATAAATAAATAAAATCTTAAAAAGAAAAAAAAATGAATAGTGGGTACGATTTGTATTCATTCTAATATTGTAATTACTTGTCATCTTAGATCTTAAAGATAAAAAACACTCTCTCCATGTCCTGCCCTAGAGATTAGAAGTTCTCGGCATTTTCAAGCAGTGATTGTGGGATGTTGTGAAAAGTAATGCATAGATAGATGCTCTTACCTTCAAAAGGAGTAAAAGAAATTTAGCTTAGCTGTATCTTATAACAGACTATCAATCGAAGAAGACACGGTCCACTAACCCATCTCCTCAGTAAGGTCTGTGTTAGCTTGCTGGAAGAGAAGTGGAAGATTCGTCAGATATAAAAGATTGTTGAGGGGCTAGTGGGGTCCACATGTGTTGATTGGTTTGCCTGTCTCCAAAAGGGATTTTAGTGTTAGGATTGAGTATAAGGTCGTTCAGAACCCGGCCTTAACACATCTTTAGGGTCCAAGCTGCAAATAACAGCAACTAGTTTGAATTCAAAAAATTATTTACCTGTTGTGCTTTTTTTTTTTTTCACTTAACTGGAATCCTATTTTTGAAAGAAGAGTTAAAACTTTCAAATCGGACCCTCTAAAGTTAATCCTATCTGTTTTACTAGAGCATCCTATTTTATTTGAAGTATTTCGCAAGGCAGTGGTTCCCATGTGATAGGATCTTTAGTTCCTGAGGGCACGTAGTGTATTTTTGCCTTGTATTATGGTCACTGTCGGTGTCTACATTGTCTTACTTGGTTGTAAACTCCATAAGAGTAGGATCTGTGTGTGTGCATCTTGCAACCTCTGATTGTTGATAAGAGCATCAGTGACTGACTGGTTGGATGATGTGGATGGTGGGTTGTATAGGATGACTGACCATCCCTTTGCTGTGCCTGGGACCTGAGTATCCCTTAGCCCCCTCTTTGCCTTTTGTGCGTTATTCTGTTGAGACCACAAAAGTGATGGCTGGTATTTTTAGTCTTCCTTCAGAATACTAGTTAAGTCATATACGAGGCAAACTATCTCAGGAGAAAGAGAGATGAGGAGCGCTGTATAAAGATGTAGCAATTCAAAGGAGACACTTCACACTTCATTATGGGCTACGTGGGATTTCCACACTTTCGCGTCTAATGGAACCACATTTCACTTGATTAGTGTCTTTTTTTGGTTTGTGTGTCTTCGTGGCAAGATGCTTGTCCGAGGCGGAAATTTGTGGGGAGTAGAATCATCTCTCATTTGTAGATTGAAACCTAAAGCCCTGTACTGTACTGAAGACGGTTTTCTAGAGTAAATCTGACCCAAATGCTAGGATTACTTACTTCCTTTATCGCAGAACTGCTTAATCTGAGTTCAGTTTTGATCATTATGTAAGAACCTTGATCATTACGTAAAGACCTAAAAGTTGGAGTTTGAATAGCTGATAAGGTATGGGCCTACATTTTCTTGCATTATCCGCTGGACGAATGGGACACTGTAAAACTGGGACATTGTCACCCGACAGGCAAAATTGTTTCTGACCCTTGAGTTAAGCGAATTGCTTGCTTGGGAGATTGTAGTGGAATAAACCGAAAGTTCTAAATAGACTTCACAGAGCAAGTATGTGTTGTTTATTTCAAAGGACTAGTGCTTTCATGTTACCAGTACGCATGAATTAATTTTTAAATTTTTATGTTGTTAAGTTGCATTCGTATTCAGTCCACGTAAAGTTCTAACCAGTCTTCAAATCTCTTGGGTTTCAGGTGTTAAAAATGGACCAACCAGGCATGATGTTTTGGAGGGCTCAACGGGAGCCTGTGGGGACCTCACCAGACCTCACGAGGAATCAGAGAAAAGAGGGAAAGGCCAAAAGGTGGGTCCATGAAAATATTGTTTTAAACTTTCCAATCTACTACATCATAATGCCCTAGTCTGAGTGAATGTCACTTAAACTAGTCTGCCCAACTTGCATTCTATTCAAAAAAATTAATTATGGTTGGATGTTGGAAAACTGAACTGAAATGTTGGAAAATAGTGAAGCTGAGAGCATTAGTTGCATTCAGGACAGAGTTAGTATTAGCAGGGCGAGCCTTGCCACCACTTTGCCAACGCACTCTCTTGCTTGTAAAAATGCTCAGCTTCTCTCGAGCAGAGGGGGTCGGTTGTGCCAACAATTGTTGTTTTATAATCTGAATAAACATTCACTAGGTAGGAGGTGAAGCACTCAGACGTTGTTCATTTGTGAGCTAATGAAGGTTTGAGTTCAAGCCATCGGAGTGAAAGGTTCCCGTGCCTTCGAGCTTCAGCTTTGGGAGCGTCTAGCTCCTGCTCTCCGCTGTGCGGCTTTCTCGTCACATGGTGTGCTCACCTGAGTCCCAGAAGGGGGATCTAAAACTTTCTGGTTCTTCAACATCCGCTTTTGTGCCTTACGTTCAGTTAGCCTCTCTTTATCTGATGCCTCGTTTATGCCAAGGCCAGGAAAACGTAATTAACGAAACCTGGTTTCCACACAATGGGAAAACTCTCCTGATAAACGAGTAACAATTTGAAAGGCAGCAACGATAGCGCACGGAGGGCGCCAGGGCATCCTAGTCTTCAGGCCCCACAGGAGGAAGAGGACCAGTGACACCTTCCTTACACTGGCAACGGTTAAAATGACAGATTCCATGAAAGTCTGTTATAAGTGGTAGAAACTCTAATTTCTTTACTGATGTGTTCTGGTTTGTCTCAGGAAAATAAAAGAAAAAGGACTCCCCACATGGAAGGGATCACATGTCAGGTGGAGTGGATTTGCAGGGAGGGAAATGGTCGCAGTCCCCTCCCGTGTGAGCGTGTAAGGGACACCAGGCGCCTTGCTTCGGGCGCCCTGGCTGTAAGCAAGTGTCCCTGCACCTGTTACCTGCACCTTCTCGTACCTGCCCTGTGCAGTGGTTCCCACGACTGCGCCTCTGACCCTCTGGCTAGTGAAAGCTAGTGACCCTCTGTCTGCGTTTATGTTTCGTTGCCCTGGGTCCTTGTCGTCTTCTTCCTAATTGCTGCATGGCCACTTAGCCTTCTTCCTTTGGGAAGAAGCAAACACCTTTTGACATTTATTCAGCTGATGCACTGCTGTTTCCTCTTGAGGCGTTTCGGGGTGGTCCCTATACACCTCTGCTTTAGACCGGCACGCTTTATGATAGTACTTACCTACGTTTTACCCTCCCGTGGGTACTTTCTTAGGGAAACAGTCATACCTACTCATCTCTTTCTCGGTATTATGCCTATATTTAAAAAAATTGCCCAGTAAATACTGATCACCAGTAATCAACCATAAAAATGCTTGACGCTATCTAATCACGAGCATGTGGTTTAACTTGGAAGTTAATATTTCAGACATCTGACCTTGCCTGGCATCTACCTGATAACCAGCTTGCCTTGTGCACTGGGTCTGTGGAAGAGCAGGGGGTTAGCGACATGCACCTGGAGGGGGACGTGTCCTACATGGAAAGGATTGTGCCTTTGTTCCTACAAAGCCTCTCGCCTTAGAGGGCTTGTAAAATGAGCAAACAGCCCCTGTACCCTTCCCAGCATTATCGGATGCGTCCAGTGATCAGTGCTACACAAGTGGGGACTGTGGGATAGTCTCACCATCGTGGGTATTAATGAAACCTAAGTGGTTAACAGGGAAAATGAAATACAGAAGGATATATACACGCCTTCACGTGAAGGCTCAAGCAACAAGAATAGTAATAAATGTAGTTACATCACTTGCTCATATGTCGTTTAACTTTGGTTTTGGAGATTTTTTTTTATCCTTTTTAAAACTTAAATTTTCCTTGTGTTTAAATTGAAGAATAGTTGACACACAGTGTTTATTTCTCTGAAACATTAGTTTCTGGTGTAAAACATAGTGATTTGACAACTGTATACATCATGCTGTGCTCACCACGAATGTAGCAACCGTCTGTCACCATACAGGCTACCTTAGTATGTTGGCTCTGTCCCCTGTGCTGTACCTTTCAACCCCATGGCTTACTCATCCCATGACAGGAAGCCTGTACTCCCACTCCCTTTAACCCATTTTGTCCATCCTTCCACTCCCTTCCCCTTTGGCAACCACCTGTTCATTCTCTGCATTTATGGGTCTGTTTCTGCTTTTATGTGTTCAATTAGTTTTGTTTTTTTTTTTTAGATTCTACCTATGAGCAAAATCATTCTCTCTGCTTGACTTATTTCACTTAGCATAACACCCTCTAGCTCCATCTATGTCATTGCAGATGGCAAGATCTCATCCTTTTTTGTGCCTGAGTAGTATTCCATTGCATATATCTATCCATCTTATCTTCTTTATACATTCATCTATCACTGGCAGTTGGGCTGCTTCCATATCTTTGCTATTGTAAATAATGCTACAATAAACCTAAGGATGTGTGTGTATCTTTTTGAGTTAGTGTTTTTGTTTTCTTCAGGTCAATACCCAGTACTGGAATTACTGGATCATATGGTATTTTTTTTTTCATATGGTATTTTTATTTTTAATCTTTTGAGGAACCTACATGCTGTTTTCTACAGTGACTGCACCAATTTGCATTCCCACTGACAGGGCACGAGGGTTTCTTTTTCTCTATATCTTTGCTAACTAACACTTGTTATTTCTTGTCTTTTTGAGTCTAGCCATCTGACAGGTGGAAGGTGATAGCTAATTGTGGTTTTATTTATTTTTTACTATTTTTAAAAGATTTTATTCTATTTATTCACGAGAGACACAGCAAGGCAGAGACACAGGCAGAGGGAGAAGCAGGCTCCCTGTAAGGAGCCTGATGTGGGACTCGATCCCAGGACCCTGGTATCATGACCTGAGCCAAAGGCAGACACTCAACCACTGGGCCACCCAGATGCCCTTCTCATCGTGGTTTTAATTTGCATTTCCTTGATTATCAGTGATGTTGAACTTCTTTTCATGTGTCTATGGCCATCTGGATATCTTCTTAAAAGAAATGTCTGTTCAGGTCCTTTCCTGCTTCTATTTTTATTTTATTTTAATTAATAATTTTTTTTGTATAGAGAGTATGCGTGCAAGTGGGATTTGGGAAAGGCAGAGAGCGGGAGAGAGAGAATCCCAAGCACACTCCATGCCCAGCTTGGAGCCTGACTTGGGGCTCAATCTCAGGATCCTGAGATCATGAACTGAACTGAAACCAAGAGGCAGATGCTGAGCCACCCATGTAACTTTGCCTCATGGCTTTTCTATATTTCTGTCCTTATGTATCCTCTGATTTTATTCTGGATATTTTCTATTGATTTCTTTTCCATTCCACCTTTCCCTCTTTATATATCTGTTCTGATGGTAAACTTATATATTTAGTTTTTAAATTCCACTTATTGTACTTCTCAGTTCTTATAATTCTATTTGCTTGTTTTTAATCTTTTCCAGTTCTCTGTGAAAATTATTAATCTTGCCCTCTATTTCTTTGAGCATGATAAAACATAATTATTTTGAAATCTCTACCAGATAACTCCATTTTCCAGCTCCATGCAGTTTCTGTCTTTGTAATCTGTTGTTTCTCTTTGTTTTCAGTCATGTGTTCCTCTACTATGCCTGGTTATTTTTTTGACTTATCTTCTTAGCAGGAATTGAGGTCAGGCTTTAACTCTGTGAGGCCAGCTATCCCCTGGGGACAATGGTCTTCAGATGCTGGCTCACCTCTGATGGTGTCCCCTTATGCAACCCACTGTCTTGCAGCTCAGCCGTGTCTTCCCAGAGCTGGTGTTTGCTTGTGTCTTGTGAGCTTTACCAATTATTCACAGTGGGGAGTTTGTTGTGAATTATTCCTGGAAATAATGGGTAAATTTTAACAGCTATTAAAAGCCAAGAAACCAAAAACCCTAAGTGGAAACAGGATACACCCTCTGAGGAAAGACCTTCTAAGTCAACAGAAAGGATTTTGAAGATGAACATTTAAGCCACTAGTTGCAAAAGACAGAGTAAATACTGAAAGCAAAAAGAATTCAGTAAAGAATTCAGTAAAGAATAGAATCTCAGAACAATAACTACTATTGGAGGTTTTTTGGTTTAGGACCCATTTTTAATGGGAAAAGTCACTTTGTAAATCAGTAGGAAACTATCTTTTTTAGATTTATTACTTTAAATATACGTTTTTAAATTTGTTGAACCTCTTTTATTTTTAATCCAGTTAAGCAATTTCATGACCTCTATAATCTTATGTACATTAATGACAAGGAGACATATTTCTCCCATCTATTCAGAGGGAGAAATATAACATGTCGTGGCCAATTTTAACCTGTTTTCTGTTGGTTGCTTAATACTGTCATAGAATCTGAAGAAGCTAAATATAAGATGAATGCTAGTACTATGGGAAACATATATGAAAATTCTTTTTCTCCAAAGTATTTTTGTTCATTCTACTACTTCTGTCATTATGGTGGTTCAAACTATTATTATCCTCAGCAGAACTTTTCTTTTAAGGTAAATCATCACCCGGATGGCTTTTCACAAATGGCTGCGTGTTAAAACTTCATTTGGGAGCCACCTCTGCCACGCAAGGGTGTCCCATCAGAGGACTAGCTGTGGCTCCGAGCACAGAAGTGTGTTTGCTGGCTTTCATAAGTTTGGAGGCTTAGCGGGAAATGAAGGCCATAGTACCTCATCATATACAAGTATGCTTATTTTGACAGTGATTTAGGGGGAAAAAAAAGAGAAAGAAAGAAGAGACCCTACACACCAGATAACAACCGTTTTAATTTCTATAAGTTTTTTAACTCGAGGGGAAATGAGGAATAATAGCTTGCATATGTTCCAACCATTGCTTACTGTAGATTTCTACCAAGGTATGAGTCCTTTAGGACACAGATTGCACCCTATGCATCTTATAA